CATCGGGGATTGAGATATGAAGGGATGGAGGTGAACTGTAATATGCTAATCGTAGTACAGAGTTTGAAGATCTACATTTGCTGGAGGGTAAGATTAGAGCTGGCACAAATTTTTTGTGATAAGAATATCCCTTGTGTTATAAAATCGTGCTTGGCTTGGCTTGAATGTATGAAGGAATTTATAATATATCCAAAATTTATATAGAACTATAGAAAAATTAGATCACATGAGAAAATAATAGAAAACAAAACGAAAAGTTGAGACGGGGATGAGAAGCGAGATGAGTGAACAGACGAAATGCAAATCCGTTAGTAAAAGCTTAAATATTTAGGAGTATTGAAAAGAGAAATGCTGGGCTCCTCACCTATCAATTTGGATTCGCAAATCATTTAGGAAGGTATGTGTGTTCATGTGGGCTTTGGCTGGTAGCAAAAGGTGCAGCCCTAACAACTGAAATTCTAATGAAAAGGAGGCATAGGTCTTGCTTCATGTACAAACATGGATCATTAGTGCATTGCCTCGTTGCAAGCTAGTTGTGGCGGTACTGAATCTATGTGTAATACAGCAGTCAATGTTGACTACAGGTAAGGATGTGATGTTTAACAGGACTTCTATAGAGAGAGAAGGAAACGTAAGATATACCTTGGAGGAAGAGGGATAGGAGAGTTTTTGAAGGGGCAGAGACCAAAATTTTCTTGTCGAGGGAATGTTTTTCTTTCTGTTAAGTTTTGGTGCAAAAGAGAAGAAAAGAAACTCAAGTAGTATGCTTGGTTTATGGGGTTCTACCATTGCAGGGCCCAAATTCCATTCTCCCCTTCTGCTAGTCAGCATTTCAGGTTTGGTAGTGGGGGGATACAGTCGGTTTCAAATGAAAAAAAGATGTGTTGTTGACCTTCTTTTTCTCTTGTCGGCAGGATTAGCCAATCTCCTTGTTTGTAAGGCCCTTCTTGTTAGTATAGATGATTGGACGCCTTTCGTAGAGAAACATATTTTTGTGTAGGTTTTCAACTTCCCGGAAACCATTTGTATACTAGGTTTTTTCCATAACAAAAATATTATTACTTCATTAAAAAAGTTGCAGATAAATGTGCCCATCTTGTAGAGTGTTGACCAGCACAATAAGAAGTTCTCTCTTTTTCCTCTATTTTCACCATATGCATGTACTTGCCAAGTCTTCTCCATCAACTGGTTTCCAAATGTAGCTCCTGTTTTTAGAAATGGTTCTCCCTTCTGAACCCTGCCAAACATCACCATCCGGTTTTTTTTTTCTTTTGAATCAACCATTAAATTTAAATGCAACAAATCTTGCAAATATTGGTTGGATTATAATGTTTCGACGCCTTTTTGTACGTTTGCATTATTTTACTTGGTAGTTTTCAAATGTATAATTAGTATTTAGTTCACACTTCACAGTGATATCTTCCATGTCTTTGTTCATCTTTTTTTTGGTAAAGGGTCTTCGTTGGTCTGTGTGTTCTAATGCTGGTGCAAGTTTCTATATTTTTGGTTAACCTTTTGCTTTTCCTAATTTTAGTTAAAAAATAGTTTTATCGTTTCTCTTATAACTTATTCTAGTGCTTTTGACTGCAGATGGTGGAATTTTTTAACAGAAAGGCTGATATTTCAAGCCACTCTCCTCTTGGTAGCTTCAATGTAGCATTCAGTTTCACTGGTGCTAAGCATTTAGATGCTACCACTACAAAGACACTTTGTATGGATGGCTATTTCATACCACTTTCTAGACTTCAACTCATGAATTCACCGCTAGTCTTACAGGAAAGTGTTAGAAGAGCTGTCCCAGCATCATGGGACCCACCCGCATTAGCGAGGTTAGAATCTCTCATTGCTTTTCTTTCGACAAGTGAAATTTGTTTATATAGTTGACATGCTAAAAACTTTTGGTAGAACCTCTATCATTCGCTAAAAAGGGGCTACCTCTGTCTGTTACAGCTTCATTGAAACTTTTGGGACTCACATAATTACATCCATAACTATCGGTGGTAAAGATGTAATTTACGTTAAACAGCACCTTTCATCACCTCTGTCCACAATGGAAATAAAAAGTTATGTTCATGATATCGGAAATCAGAGGTTCTCCAGCACAGGAAGCTTTACAAGTTCAGGTCTATTGAAATACAAGGATAAGGCTAGTTCCATTATTTTCTTTGTTTTCAAACTTTAAGTACCATTTTGTATGGTTTGCTGTTTTTTACTTATTTAAGAAATGGTTATTCTAGACTGTTTCCTTTCAAATAAATTGCTTATCTTTTGTCTTCTGACGCCTTCGCTATCCACAAATTTCCCATCCTTTCCTCAATTTAATTTTGCAGTCTAGCGATCCCTCAATATTCAATAGCCAAGGAATATATCCCCAACCCATAAATGCTCCATATATTGCTGGGAATGGAAAAGAGGTTTGTGACATTCCTTTTCTTTCCTTCTGGTTTTTATTGCTTTTTGAATAGGAGCAAAAGTTATGTGTGATCTTTTCCACTACTAAGGGGTAATTCACGAGAGAAATGTCATAAAAGTAATGCTCATTTGAATATCAAGAAGGAAGATTCTTCTTTCTCTTAAGGCTTAATACATAGTTTACCTCCCTGAGCATGTAGCAAAATCCCTTTTACACACCAAACATTTCCCAAAGTGGTGTGTATTAGACACACTTTGTGAAACATTTGGTGTATAAAAGGTTGCCCGTGAAGGAGGGGTGTGTCAAAGGGATTTGGCTACTCGGGGGTAAACTATGTATTAAGCCTTATCTTAATAACTGATTTGTCATGTTGTAGTACCGACAAAGACTATTAGATATTGCCTCCATTCCCATTTATGTGATGGTCTTCCTGTCTTGGGACCAACTCCCAAGATCTTCGAGAGTTCTGAAATAATAATGTTCTACAACTTCCAAAATTTTAATAGTTCAAAGTCATTTACAAGTGCTTTTTCAGTCAAACCTACTTGCCTAAAACAATTTTAGTTTTTCTTCCCCTTACTGTCACAAAAAATAATAAGTCAAATTAGATCTTAATCCGTGCTCCCAGTAAATTTTGTCAAATTAAATTGGACAAAGGAATTACTACTATGTACTTCTATATGATTTCTTGTCATAAGTGTAATTGTTGTCAGTTGACTGTTATGCGAAAATCAAAATCATCATTTGCTGGTTATTCCTAAAACATTGGTTTTGTTCAACATATCTGATGCAGGATGTCACAGTCATTTTCAGAAGAAGGGGAGGGGATGATCTGGAACAAAGCCACACCCAATGGGCAAAAACTGTCAGATCATCTCCGGATGTCATTGAGATGTCATTCTTCCCTATAACTCTTCTGCTTGAAGGGATCAAAGGGAAAGATCATCTGGCACGCGCTATAAGTCTCTATCTTGAATGTAAGATATCTCGTTTAACGGAAAAAGTTATTCCTATATATATTCTGTATCGATGTTCTTTGTCATTTCTATGATTCATGATGGTGACAAATGACTCTAGTTGTATGAATGCTTGCAGACAAGCCTCAAATCGAAGAGCTGAGATATTTTTTGGAGTTTCAGGTCCCAAGGGTATGGGCCCCTGTACAGTCGAGACTTCCAGGCCAACAACGGAAGGAACCTGTTTGCCCACATCTGCAGTTCAGCATGATGGGGCAAAAGCTCTATATTAGCCAAGAACAAGTATGCTGATTTCCGAATTTGAAAATAGTGTTTTTTGTTAATGCTGATTTATTATACTGATCAAGGAAAGGATATGTTTCTTCCTAAAAAGTTTGTCAGAATCAAACTTACCTCCAAATAAGTTATCAATCGTAAATCAAATTAGTTCCAGTTTTACAACCTGAGGATCCGTCAGGTTTGATGGCTATCGGATAAAAGCTTAGAATAATTTTGAATTCAAGGATCGGGGACTTAATGAAAGTCATCCATTTTTAGCTGTTAATGTTTCCCTCACATTTAGACCGATTTAGCTAGTGTACACCTAAATGGTATATTCATATGACAGTCTTATTTTGATCCAAGCCTACTTTTTCCCATTTAATAAAGTATCAGTGTCCTGAGCTGCTGTTTGAATGTTGTACTACAGGTGTCGGTGGGGCGTAAGCCTGTGACTGGCATGCGGCTAGCTCTTGAAGGTTCCAAGTCGAATAGATTATGTGTCTATATTCAACATCTGACTTCCCTTCCTAGAATCCTTCTGCCATGTTGGGACACTCATGTAGCAATTGGCGCTCCAAAGTGGCAGGGCCCTGAAGAGCAAGATAGTAGGTGGTTTGAGCCGGTGAAATGGAAGAACTTCTCCCACGTGAGTACTGCACCAATTGAGTGCCCTGAAACTTTTATTGGTGATGATCACTCTGGCGTGTACATAGTGACGGGAGCACAGCTTGGGGTTTGGGACTTTGGGTCAAGAAATGTGTTGTATATGAAGCTTCTATATTCAAGGCTACCAGGATGCACGATACGAAGATCACTGTGGGAGCACACCCCAAATGATAAGTCAAATAAACAGGTCAATTGTGGGAATTACAATGGCGATGCAAGTTCTCTTACAGGGGAGAATATTATAGGTAATAAGTTGGCAAAGTTTGTTGACATGACCGAGATGAGTAAGGGGCCTCAAGATCCTCCTGGTCACTGGTTAGTGACGGGTGGAAAACTTGGTGTTGAGAAAGGGAGAATTGTTTTGAGATTGAAGTATTCCTTGTTAAATTATTAGTTGATACTGGTTCTAAACTTGCTGCATTACAAGAAAGTGAGGTGTTTTGGTGTATATGGTTCGTTTTTTTTTTTTGGGTGCATGTTTACCATCTCTGGTAGATGGTAGATTGCTACGGAGAAGGATGTATATCTAGGTAGTTCCAATGTGTAAATTTCTACAAATTTTGACACAATCATCTTTTTTCATTTCTAAAGTTAATATGTAGGAAGTGGCACTTCCAATCTAACAAGAGAACAATTCAAGAATAACTGCAGTTAAGTAAAATAACCTCCGGAAACACTTAATAGACTAGCCAACAAGATTTTTGTTCATTCCATGATACCACTGTTAGTTTTAAGAATTGCAAAGAATAAAGTTCTGCTGAAACTTTGACTTCATTCATTCACATTTCAACAAACAAAAGAAACATCTCATATTACTGACACTCCTCCTTGATCCCATCAAACACAAGGTTGTCTAATCGACTCACCAGAGTATTGGTTGATAAGCTCAGTGCTTGATTCTCCTGTCGCAGACTTCCATTTTCTTCCTGTAGTTTCACGTTCTCCTGTTGCAGATTTTCATTTTCTTCCTGTAGTTTCACGTTCTGCTCTTTAAACTTTAGGGTCGAGGAGAGTTGGTATTTCAGGATTTCATTCTCTCGCATCAGATCACCATTTTTGTTCTTTAGTTGAAGTATTTGCTTTTCCAGAGTCTGGTTTTTCTTCTTCAGATCATCCTCCAAATCGTCCTGCATAAACAGACATCAAATCCCCTGCATTTAGTGATATTCAAGCAAAATAAACATATAAACAAGAAACAAAAAGAATATCAGCTCACATCACTGCTGATAACTATAGGGATATCTGCTCCTGAAGACTGTGAAAACTCTGTACGTTCTTTTTCTTTCCCCGCATAGTGGCATGCAGAAGATCTTGATACAGTTTCATGCAAACTAAATTTATCAGATGGATCAGAAGAAAAACTTTGAATTCCATATGCCACTCTGCTACTTTCACTCTCTGATTCAGTTTCCAGGTCAACAACCAAATGAACCATTGGTTGATATCCATTTTTCACTGTACGGTCCTGTTAATAGAAAGAAGTTAATCTACAATCTTTTTTCCAATTAATTATGGCAAATAATGGATCACTATCATAATATATTTGGATAAAAGAGCTTGAAGTACAAAAATATATGTCAAAAGAGGAAGAAAGACTTACAGTACGAGAGCAAGTAGCTAGTGAAGATTGTTGGTTCATGTCAGGCCATGTTTTTCTCTTTTCTGCCTCTATCAACTCTTTGATTATGTCAGTATTTGACTCATCGGAAGTCAGTTCAAGGCTCCAAATTATCTGAAGATTGAGAGAGAGGCGCTAGAAGTTAATTTTCCAAAGCATAATGAAACTCTTCATGTTTCCAAAATCGTTGTTTGGCATTGATGAGACCACAAACTTGGATTTCAGAAGCTATGAATGGAAGATAAGGGGTACAACAACAGAAGGAAAGGGAAAGAAAGAAAAACAATATATTGAAGAAGAAATATCAGAAAACACCTCCTTCATATTCCTAACTTTCCTTTCATTTACTGCTGTAGGTGAAATAGGTTATTACTAACTCTAACTCTTATTGTACACCAGAGTCCTCTTCAATTTATATCTGAGCCAAAATAGCCTAAAGAATGATTGTTTTTGCTTTTATATCTGAGCCAAATTATCCAAGGAAAGTTATGTTGTTCTTCGAGACTTTACTAAGATAACAAAGGCACAATCTCTCACGATCCCAAGAAGATAGAAATAAAATCCGGATCAGACAAAGTGGAACGCAACTGCTGTTAACCTTATTACCTGATTAGCCTCTAGTTCTTTGAATTTGCTAATGAACCAGTGCCTCTGATGAGATTTACTACTTCCCCAGTTGCACACACGTGGGAACTTAGAGCAGCAGTCCGTTAAACTTGGACGAGCAATGTCAATGTGTTCAAAACACCATACCTATTCAAATACAGCGAAGACTTGAGTTTTCAGGTTGGAGTTAATAGAGTGGATACAATGTATATCTGTCTTAAATACTTCTTGTCAAATACTCATCAAATGAAACAGAGCTGTTCCATAGGAAACACACAAATTAATTGAGGTCACCAAAATAAAAACTATAGATTGTGAAACCTACTTGAAGAAAAATAAGACAACCTCCAACATATTGCACTTTTTCCTTCCTTCTCTTGTACAACCAGTGAAATACATCTGCAAGAACAGCTGCTCCCCATGCAAATTTACTCACTGTATCAAGGTTTTCGAGAAGATAAAGGTACCGGGAATCAATTTTACCACTCGTACTTGGGAAAAGAAAAGTTCCAAACGTGAATAATAAGAATGTCCTCACAAAATCTTCATTGTTGGTCTCAGCAAGAGAATCAAGTCTTTGTTCTAATGATGCAACAGTGATTTTTCTATTCCACAGGGCAACACCATATTCTCTTTCTAGATCCAAGAAAGGTGTATCTTCTCGTAGAACTACAGGACTTCCTGTGACTCGTAATCCCAAAATCAATGCAACATCCAAGAGAGATACGGTTAATTCACCCGGAGAAAGTACAAAAGCACGCTTCTCATAATTCCATCTTTCCATCAGTTCAACTAAAAGGTTTTTAGAAAGCATTTGATCTGGAATGAGGAGCAAATTGCCAAATCCAGTCCTACTTATAGCATCCTTCTGACTATCGGTCAACTTTTTAACGCGCTTTATAAAGGATGGCAAAGAGAACCGAGTGCTGAAGTTTCTGACCTGAAAAGGATACAACTTTCTTTAAATTTGGAGAAATGTGCTCAATTGTCTTTCACATTGATGTATACAACCTTATTGAACATTCTGAAAGCCATTGGTATGAAGCACAAGAAAAATAGGAGGCTGCTAGAGTTGCATTAGGAATATTCAGTATTTGGATACCTGATAGGTCTATTATTATTAAAGCACATAATAGGCCTAAAATTCATGGATATTCTAAAGAAATGAAGAGATAATAAATTAAAGAAGCTCCAATTCATTCTCTACATGTTAGGACCTAAAAACCAGGTGTCATGCGGAAGCTAGTAAAGCAAAGCTTGAACGACGATAAATCCAACAACAAAAGAAAAACCTACAAAAAGAGACACAAACATTTAACGTGGTTCAGTCAACTGACCTACGTCCACGCCGGAGATGAGCAATCCACTATATAAAAAGAGAGTACAAAATATCGAGAGAACAACCTCACGAAGAGGCAAACACAAGTGACACACTAACACTTGTCCCGTAAAGTTCTCCCCCTAAACAAGACTCTCAAGCCCCTTATGGCTACATTGTGGATGCTACTGAATGAGAAGGACGGATTTTCAATTTATAGAACTCCAAACCTTTTCTTACAAGAAAAGGGACTAGTCAAATATGGAAGATTTATAATTTCCTTCTACATAAAGGAAAACCCAATCAAGGTGAATATGTTGTCATTTCCTTCATGAGATAGGAAAATCAATTATGGTAAGAAAATCTGGACAAACACCTAACACTACAATTGGACAATCCTTGTGAAGATAGTTATTAGTGATGATCAGATATTCTTGAGTGCATATCCCATACGAAAAATGTTACTATATAGTTTGTAATATTGGAGTGAAATATTTGTAAAAGACTTCACGTTCAACAGATAATAGGCTCGTTGTATCCCAAAGGAGCGTTATCCGCTAACCCCATAGACGGGCAATTACAATCGTATCACGCCTCAAGCCTTGCCTTCCTTCTTTCTTCATCTAATCTCTGGGGGGGGGGGGAGGGGACACCAGAGCAACATGGCAACTACAAATAGGGAGCTCAAAATAACAATTGTTGAGTCAACCAAATAAACCGATGATCGCAGAGGATGCTTTTTTCAGATTGAGAAAAACAATTTCCTACATGTAGAAAACTATTTTCTACCAAAGGAAAAAATGACTCCTTTCACCTATGAGTGCTGAGTAGAAATCATTCTTTTTAACAAATATCCATACTTTAATTCCATATCACTTACTTCAATAAATATTTAGATATCATTGCAACATGTAGTATTCAAAAATGTTTCAACTATCTCCATATCTTATTTTATAGGTGCAGTTGGTACTACGAAAGCCATTTTTCAATATAATGTTTTCAATGAGAAAGTTATGTGGGACGGAAGCCATTTTCCAAGTAAACTAATTCCGTCAAAAGGGAAACATGACTTTCCTCACTTATGGGCAAAAGTGAGTTTTCTTACGATTATCTTAATTTTTTAACTTAATATTACCTTCTTTGACAATCACTTAGATATTTTTTCTTCTCAAGAATTTCATCAAAGCACTCTCCAATTTGCTAATAATATTATTAATCGCTATATTTTTCAGGAAAATATTTTCCACTCACCAGCCAAATACTGTTTGATAATATTTGATTGAGACTAAATACAAATACACTCTAGGTATTGTACGATTATTCACCAAATTTTACACTAAACCAAACTCCTAAAAATGATTTTCCCAAAGTAAAACATTTTTTCGCCAATACCAAAAAACATAAAAAGTTAACTGAAATTCTGATGCGGGAAAATAGGAATAGGTTGATGGGGGATAAGATGACATACCGACTTGTCCACTGGTTTCTGAACCAATGAATGTCTCATATTTCTCTTCGGACCATGTCACAATGAAGAAGAACGAGCAGAATTACAGGTACCTGGGAAATTTTTTACTCTAAGAGAAACAGAGAAAGGGTTTAGACTTTCCATAAGGAGAAGCTTGCTGAAGAAGCTGTCAAAAGGCGCCAAAAACAAAAGAAGAAGAAAGCGGGCTCATTTAGGACCCGTTTGGAAATGGATTACCAAATATTTTTTTAAAAAGCTAATTTGGGAAAGTTTGATTTGAAATTGAAAAGGTGTTGGACATTAATTTTGGGGCAAATTTGACATATTAAAAAAAATCCTTTTTACCTCTTTTTTCAGCTAGAAAGTTCCAAATAATCATGATTTGACCCAAAAAAAAGGTCTTAAACTATATTTGAGATTTGAAGTTTTGGTTTTTAAAATCTCCCAAAAACTAGATTATTTCTATTAACAAATACATATTTAAATTTTTTTCAAAAAAAACTTCCAAAACTTATGGTCAAACGCCTACTTAGGTAGTGGCCCAAAAGCTCAAGTGAGTTGGAAATGCGGGCGTGATCAGACATTCATTGGTAATCCGATAATATTTCATACTTCATCTCATTCTAATTAAGTGAAGGCATTTGATTGCACATCGAGTTTAAGAAATTAAAGATAACTTTTAACCTTTAATGTCTGATATAGATAAAAAATTTATCTTTTATCAGTGGAGGTAATTTTATATTCTACTCTTTTCATTTTCTCCCTAATTATAATTATAAAATAAATTACCATTAAGTGGGGTTCAAAAGACATGTCATTAACGATAAAATGAGATTGCTAAACTTAAATAACTTTCAAAAAGAGAAAGATGTATTTTTTTTATAACATTTAGTACAAAAGGAAAAGTATCACGTAAAATGAGGTAGAGAAAATATCAATTGGTTATTCCAATATTAAGAGCCCGTTTGGACATACAATTTTTTTTCTTTTTTTCAAAATATTTTTTGAAAATAATGTTTGGTTATCCCATTCTTACCAAATTTTTCTTTTTCACTTGAAAATCTATTTTCAAATTTGAAAAATTGGTTCTTACCAATTTTTCAATTGAAAATGAGAATTTGCTAGTTTTTAATTCTACAAATTTACCCTATGTTTTTAAAATTTATAAAATGACCCCATCAGTTTTCATCTTTGGCAGATACATCTTTGGCAACTGATGGTGGAACATCAATCCTAGTTGATACTTGAACTCTGCCTACTGGAAGTTTGATTATATGATTGTTAATAGAATTAGAAAATGTGATATTGATTTTGCATCTTCTGTGAATACGATAACAGTTAAAAAATAGTATTTTGATTGTTTATTTCAAGTAGGATAATCAAATTGGGGTGGTTTTGATATTTTTTTTACAAGTTGTGGGGTATAAATCATATTTCATGGTTTTGAAAAAAAAGACATCCAAATATGTTGCAAAAATTATAACCAAACACAACTTTATCTTCAATTCAAATTTTAGTGAAATTCCAAATTTGAATGCTTTTTTGGAATTCATGTCCAAACGCCTACTAAATTCTTCCCGTCTTAATTTTTTTTTCTTTTTTTAAATGGATCAAGGAGAAGAAGCTTTTTTAGGATTGGTAGTTGAAGGGGGGGGGGGGGGGGGGATTGAATTAGTCCATCAATTGAAATTAAGCATTATATTTCAAATAAGTTAAACTTTTCAAACTGAAAAAGATGCACTTAAAAAGACGAACATAGAGGAAGGAAATTGTCCAGTTAGAACCTTTTTTTCCTTTCTCGTGTAAGAAAGCTTTTCTGGTAAATATTATTCATCTTGTATTAGTTGACCCACATATCAACTACAGTATTTAAATAAAAACCGAATGACATGTACTTAGAGGTGTGCATTCGAATCGGTTTATCGATAAATCGAATCGATTATTTGTTATTGAAATCGAAATCGAAAAAATCGAAACCTTATTGAAACGATAACGATAAGCATATGTACAAATCGATAATCGATAAGTAATTGTCGATAAGGGTCAAAATTGAATCGATAAATCGAATGCACACCCCTAGATTGTAGATACTTGTTAAATGAGTAATTACCTATTTGTGTAGATTAATATAACATACAGAATGTATATATATTCCGCTACTATTTTGAAAGCGGCTATACAATATTATTTTCCCTAATCTATACCCTTTCCTTTACCCTAAGTCCCTTACCCTATTATTTCCTCTACCATATTTAAGGAATGATCATATTTAAAGATCAAGGGAATGAAGTTCAAATTAATAGAAAACAGAATTAGCCGTGATGATGTGTTTTGTTTTGTTTTGTTTTTTTTTATACCGTTGGAGTGTTGGTGGCATACATTTGATCCCTTACTTTAGTTTTGTTGCATGTGCTTGTTGACACAATTTTTATATTATAAATGGTGTTAGTCTTATTTTAGCTTCTTTTTGTCCATATTAGTTAGGCGCGTTTATAGCGATATACTTTCTGTGGAATCCCGCAAATTTTCTTATTGGTGTAATCGATAACCGAATCGATAAGCCCCCAAAATCGATAAATCGAAATCGAAAAAATCGAAACCTTATTGAAACGATAACGATAAGCATATGTACAAATCGATAATCGATAAGTAATTATCGATAAGGCTCAAAATCGAATCGATAAATCGAATGCACACCCTACATGTACTAAACCAACAAAAAAAAAGATAATTTTATGAGTAAAGATAGGATTTTGAAGAATATATCAACTATATGTATGTTATTTAATTTAGAAAGAAAAAGTAAATAATGAACAAAACCAAGCGAACAAAGGCTAACGTATTAATGCACATTTGTAATTGTATCCATATATACATACATCAAATCACTAGTTTAAGAGCTCGTATGGACATAAGAATTTTTTTTACTTTTTTTCGAAATCGTTATTTGGCCATAAAATGTTCAATTTTCACTTAAAGATGAATTTCGAAATTTTTCGAAAATTTGAAAAACTCCAAAAAGTTGTTTCTCAAAACTTTCACTCAGATCACTCACAAAACTTAAAAAACAACTTAAAATTATATTCATGTCCAAATACAACTCTAATTTTTAAATATGATTTTAAAAAAAATCTTTTTTTTTTTTGTTTGTTTGTAATTTTACAATTATTATGTCCAAACGCACATCATTCACAACAAACAATAGAAAAGAAATATATGTTGAAGCAAAAATTATTCTCATTCCAAACCAGCTAGTGCTTTGCTAAAAACTATACGTCAACATTATACAAATCATTTACACCTATTCTGAACCACATATATATCTTCCCCCATTACACGAGAAATTAATTAAGAAAAAGAGATCGAACCTAATTAATGTTTAAAATTCAAAAGATAAATCAGCAAATTCAACAGTTCCCACCATCAAATCCAAAAAATGGTGATGATTATTAGTAGAATTAAAGTTAAGTAGAACTGAAGAATCTTCATCATGAGTTGGTGAATCACAGATCATTTGAGAAACTTTAGGAAAAGTTTTGCATGTGTGATGACCATAGTACGTGACTCGAAATAGTGGCGGATTTTCTTGAATTCTTTGCACCTGTTTGTTTGCTTCGCATCCTTGATCAAATTTATGAGTGCACCTAAAGTAGTTCCTGCATATTCTATTCATATGTCAATCACTATAATTTTCCAAAAACATAGAGAAATTATATATATACAGGTAACAAAAATACGGCTTTCTTGATTATTCACAATTGTGCTTAATATAAAAAAATTTGCAAAGCCTTGGTAGATAAGGTTACCTAATACCTATCTGGTGAAAGATAGCAGGTGTATGCAGGGGAGAACCTACCCTTCGGATAGAGGGTACACTCGCCCTCGGTAACTTCGGAAAAAATGTATGCATGCATATACATAAATGCGTGTGTGTATCGATTTTAATAAAAGTATATATTTTGAACGGCACCCTAAGATTCAAATGTTAGGCAATTGCGCGCATTAGTCGATTTAGGGGGCAAAACTTGACTTTTAATGCATTGTCTGCGTTCGATTCCAACTCCAGCATTTGATCAAATTTTTACTCAACAATGGTGCCTATGCGAATCCTTGGTCCGCCTCTAAAAATATGGGTGAAATTAGACAAGTGCGTGCAAATTGGTTCGAACACTATAGTAATAAAAAAATACTTGTGGTTAACAAAATGTGAAGATGGTGACTCAAACCTTGGATATTTGGCATTGAGAATGTGCTTCTGACCATATTTTCTCCATGCATGGCCATCATCCACTAAAGTTGAGGTTTCTTTAATGGTTGTTTCTAAAGTTTTCCTGTATCAACATGTTGAAAAATCATTTGTTAGAAACTTAAATTAAACTTAAAATTTCACTCATCTTAAACTTTCGTATAAAAAGTACCAGGATCAATTTAGGGATTTTATCACTTCTAGCCCGCGCCAGAAATTATTTACATTCAGTAGCCGAAAAAGTATATAGAATTTATATAATTTAATATAACATAGAGAATGTATATACAAAAAATATATATTTTTGTTGGCTATTATTTAGAGAGCTTCTATACAGTGTCCTTTTCCCATCAAATTATCATTGTTATTATATCTTGTTCAACAACAATTATAAAATAAAGTCATTTTCGATACCAAAATGCTCTTAAAATCTTGTCTTCCACATTTTTGTATTTTTAGGTTGAGTTAAAGGATAAAACTGTCAATGGGCATCAAGGAATCCAACCAAATTTCCTCCAGTTTTATTTTAACCGACCAAATTTCCTTCTAGTTAACTAATTGCCCATTTGGTCAAACTTCTTTTTGGTCAAAAGTATTTTACTCCCAGAAATAGTTTGTTAAAAGCAGAAAAAATTATTTCTTCCTAAAGTTACTTTTTGAATTTTTTTTTTAGAAAAATATACATGTAGCACTTTTAAAATCTTGATCAAACACTAATTATTGCTCAAAAATATTTTTTAAATTAATTAACGAAAAATAAATTACTTCTTAAATAAAGCACCTTTTAAAAAGATAATTTTGAGAAAAATACTTTTTAAATAAGTTAATTTTAAAAATTTGGCCAAACATGCTATAAATAAGAAGTAAATGACTACTAGACCATCAAATCCAAAGTATAGAACTTGCTAAAACGTGGAATAATCTTTGTGTCACTACTCGTAAAAGCCTATAATACCCTATAAGATACTGAGTTATAAGAAGTACTTGTTCATTTATTCCATTTCACATGTCTCGCTTTTCTTCTAGTCTAGTCCAAAATAATACTAATAACAACTTTTTATATTAAAAAGCTTTAATTTTAAGCTTTCCGTTTTACTTTTAATAACATGCTTAGCTTTTGTAGCCATAAAAAAACTATAGTTCTTCCGTCTTAATTTATGTGACACGCCTATTTTAAAAATATTTTTTCATATAAAGGATTTATCAGAAATAATCTATCTATCTCACACAAGATAAGTGTAAGGTATGTGTATGCAGGGGCGAAAGAGGGTTCGGGCCTTCGCCGAAAAATTAAACAGTATATTTAAGACAAACTTTGTCTTTTACCTTTATATACTATGTTTTGAATCACCTGAGATAACCCAAAAACGTAGCTTGGTAGTCAAGGGTTTTCAAAATCTTTATAAGTTCATGGTTCAATTCGCACTAGCTACAATTATTTTTAATTTTTTTTTCTTTTTTTGAACTCCTTAGCGAAAATCTTTCATATGCCAATACATGTTGTTGTTGTTGTTGTGTTGTCTCAATTTATATAACATTTTTTTCTTTATATTCCATCTAAATAAAAAATGGCATATTTCTATATTTAAAAATAATTTACTTTATTTTACTATATTTTTAATCAGATAATTTATAGTCATATAAATTTCTAAGGCTTGTTTTAAATAATAAGTTTCAAAAAAAAAAAAATCATGCTCAATCAAATACTATCATTATCATATAATATGAATTCGAAATACTAAGAATAGTAAAATCACCTTCTTTTGTAGCGTCCTCGTCGATCTTTCATTGACGAAGTCTTGCAACTACCACTTGAGTCTTCAGTCGACTTCACAATTTGAGAAACTTCACTGAATTCATTAGATCTTAGTATCGATATAGTCTCAGAAAATGAACTCATTATTTTCCCCACCAAATCCTCAGTCAATACATCTCCGACATCTGCTTCTGGTTTTTTTATCATTTCTCTTAGCCGGCGCGTGAGTTCTCGGCCGCGATTCAACTTTTCCGTTAACTTTTCCAGGTCAGACTGTGTGTAATTTTCAGACTCCATATAATTACTACGACGTTGCTATTAGCTGAATTAACTATAGTGTAGAGACGTGAAGGCTTTATTTATAAGTAAAAGTATTTGATTAAACTTTAGAGGAAAGTTGCTCGGAAAATTCGTCCTTAGCTTGTGGAAAGACAAAACCCACGCGCATTGATTGAGATCATTTTTGTTATTAACTGTTGTGACTAGACACTTATGGTTTTGGTTCATGAACCTACAATTACTATATTGGGTCACTTTTACCATTAACCCCATACCCCACTTGTTGGGATTAAATTGAGTTTGTTGTTGTTGTTATCACTTTTACTATTAAAGTCAAAAGACGAATTAGAATTTAAATTTAATGAGTAAATTTTTTTACAATTTTGAAATTATATATCCATGCCTAGTGCAGGAGTGAAGCTAGGGTGATGGACGGGGTTCGAACCCCTATGTCGTATATAAGGTCAAAATTAATTTTTTATGTATAAATAGTATATCTTGAATTCCTTGGCTTATTCGTGTATTTAATTTTTAATATTTCGAATATCCTTGGTAAAAAAATTTGCTCCATCACTAGCCTCGTGCTGAAAAAACTAGGTTGATTATGAAGGTATTGATTATCTGGAGCGGTCCGCGTGAAAGTATATCTTTGACAGAAGTCATTAAATTTGATTCAAATTTTATATATATTTTGAGAAATTTATAGAATATGTACGTACAATAAACTTCAAAACTTAAAATTTTTAAATTCAATTATGTTGAAGGGTATGTTGCCGACTTGCGTCGCCATTAAGGAAAAATTCTCCCGTAAAAAGAAAAAAAATATAAAAAAAAAGTATCGGATCACTTTTGGCTTTGCATGGAGATGGATAGAGATTTCATACGCGCTTAGAAGAGCGTAAAAAAGAGGTACACGTTGCCAATGACGTTATTCATATGTTGTCAGCCTAATATCGTCATCCATTCCAACGATACTAATGTAATTTTAAACTGACGCTTAAGAATAATTAATTAGTGGTTTAGTCAAGCATAACTGGAATTCGAGGTGTGACACTTCCTTATCCTTGGAAATTGGGGACCACGAAAAATATAAAAGACATGCCTGATAATTATAAGAAATGACATAGTAGTACCTATGGTTTTCATTCATTCTCTTTCCACAGAATTTCACATGCAATTTGTAATTAAAAAATAAAATAAAAGAAAAGAGAATACTGATTTGGATTGATTATAGCAGGGTTAAGTATTAGCTAACGTAGCATATTATTCCCTTTGTACTGTTTTATATATCGATGTTCGACATTAGACTTTTGTTACATATTAAGGAACCGTTTGTCCATAAATTATCTTTTTCGAAAATAATTTTCAAAAATGTGTTTGCCCATGAAATTTTCTAAGTTTTAGGAGATTTTTTAGTTCAAAATTAAGAACAAAAAAATTTGTCACTCACAGAATTGTAATATTTTTTCAAGTGAAATGCATGTCCAAACATAATTTCAAATTCCAAATATTATTTTTCAACTTAACTTTAAATATTACTTTATTTTCAAAAATTACAATTTTTGTGTCCAAACGCTTTCTAAAAGTACGTTTAGAACTTGTGGTCTTTAATGTATATACTATGGCATTTATATGATTATAAAAATATATCATTAAGGGTAAAATTTTAATTTCAAGCTTAATAAATTACCAAACTTAAAACTGTACTATTCTTTTGGAACATACTAAAAAGAAAACGATGACTGATAGATGGAACGGCAGAGTATATAATTACTGATGACATCTATAGAAAATCAGTTTTACACCAGAGGGTGTGTGAGAGTAGACACACCGTAGTGTTTTAAGCTTTAATTCTGACCATAATAGAAGATAAATTTCATTCAACATTTGAACTTCACCAACCCCTAATAAATGACAACTAAAATTAGCTATGAGGTTAAGTTAGAACGGATTAGAAATCTGAGAAGATAATATTGGTTTTAGTGGAGCATCATGCGATGACTTGTGACATGATGCTCCCTTGTAGACGTTAGGAAAATATTCCACAAAATAGAAGAAAGTTCCAATGACTTTTGAGCCACTAATACCACAAACAAGATACGATTCAAATTCTTTTTGCAATTTTATTCCAACGGATTAAATGCGTCACAAAATAAGAGACCAAAACACTAGGTTATTTCTATCATATGTCAAGGTTTTAGTGGACAAAGTTATCTGATACATATGCTGGTGAGAGATATTAAGTACCCAGTAATATTAATCGAGGTACACGCAAGTTTATCCGAACACAACCTTTACATATAAAAATGGATCATTCTTGGTACCGGAATGGAATTGCCCATCCTACTAGTGATATTATCTGCTTTAGGACTAAGCGGCACGACTTAAAAATATGTCACTAGGGTTTAAGGCTTGTTAACTTATACACCCAACATCTCTTCAGCATTTTATCGATATGGATTCGCCTAGGATATCACATATACCCCCTTAGGACTCAACATCCTTGCTGAGGTTTTGCCCACCACGCCTAGAATGTCACATATACCCCTTAGGACTCATCGTCCTTGCTGAGGTTTGCCCCACCATCGGTTGCACGGGAAGTGGTTCTGATACCATATGTAAGCAACCCAGCCTACTAGTGATATTGTTTGTTTTGGGCCTAAGCTCACACAGTTTTAGAAAGGGTTTTTTTTTTCACTTTTAGCCTGCGCCAAAAACTATTTACATTCCGTAGCCGAAAAAGTGCATAAAATTTGTATAATTTTTGCATATAATATACAATATATATATATATATATATATATATATATATATATATATATACANGAAATGTATATATACACAAATATATATACAAATAATATATATTTTTCGGCTATTATTTTTAGAGCGCTTATACATGCCACTTTTCCGTTTAAAAAATGCGTCACTAAAGTCTAAAACTTTTTTTATTTATTTATAAAGTAAGTGGTTTCAATAGATGGCATCAAGAAAATGCAAGATGTACATGATCTGGCGTTGAGCTTTCAAAAAATATTCTGGCTCCTATACATAATTGGCTAAGTCAGAGCTAAGGAACTAATGAAATCCAAAAGTTGATCAATATTGTTGATAGGGTACAATTTAGACCAACAAAAAAAATTGGCAATACACAAAGCCTTTAAAGAGCCTATAGGAATTGAGTTTCCATCAAAACATCTCTTGTTTCTCTTTATCCAAATGCACCAGAAAATACAAGCAGGGACCATTGATCAGATTTTCCTGATGGCTTTACCAACTCTCCATAAACTCCAGCTCTTATAAGCATCCTTGACTGTGTAAGGGGTGACCCATTTGAGACCAAAAAGACAAAAAAAACATGTACCATATGTCTGAAGCCACCTCACAGTGTAGGAGCAAGTGGTAGGTACTTTCAACTTCCTTTTGACATATGTAGCATCTATTAGGTAACTGGAAGTTCCTTTTCATCAGGTTATCTTGTGTGAGGCATGCCTCATATAATGCTGTCCAGGTGTAACAGATAACCTTTGGTGGCAGCTTGGTTCTCCAAATAAGTTTCCAGGGCCATTTGTCTATCATGGGATTACTAGAACACATTTGTTGATATCCCACATTGACTGTGTAGATGCCTCCATCATGATTCCTCGATTTAAGTCTATCCACGGCATGAGGGTTAACATTGCTTTGTTGTAGTCTTGCATAGAGGTCTAGCAGCTCGTTTATTTCCCAATCATGCATGTCCCTTCTGAACTTCAAGTCCCAATTGACCCCTTCCCTGTATGTAGCAATAACAACATTAGGATCTTGGGCTATGGTGAACAAGTTAGGGAATTCAACTTGAAGGGTAGAGTTTCCAAGCCATTTATCCTTCCAGAATCCGATGTATGAACCATTCCCAATTTCAAAGTGGATGTTCTGAGCAAAAGTACTCCATAATTTGCTGATGCCTTTCCATAATCCCACACCGTATGGAGAACTTGAGACTTTTGAACACCAGTGATTCAGCTCTCCATGCTTGGCTTTGATGACAACTTTCCAGAACCCAGCATCCTCCATATTGTATCTCCACAGTCACTTCACCATCATGCTTTTATTGTGTACTGCTAGATCTTTAATTCCCACCCCCCTTGAGTTTTTGGTTGGGTAACCTTTTTCCACTTGATCAAGTGGAACTTATGTCATTCATTATTGCCCTCCCAGAAAAGGTTTCTTCTTAACTTATCAAGTTGCTTCAAAACCTTTGCTGGGATTGGAAATAAAGACATGTAGTAAGTTGGTATGCTATCCAATACACTGTTGATAAGTGTTAATCTGCCCACAAATGAAAGATATTGCATTTGCCATGATGCAAGTTTCTTCTCAAACTTTTCTATGATCCCATTCCAAATTTCAGTGGATCTAAATTTCTCCCAAAGGTAAACCAAGATAGGTATATAGAAATGAACCAATTTTACATCCCATAATACCAGCCAGCTCATCCAGATTTGGGACTTCATTAACAGGAATTTTGGAAGTGTGTAGGGAGAGCATGTGTGGAGTGGTTGACTGGGTTGTTTAATGTTATTTTTAAGGCGAAAAGGATGCCAGATGAGTGGAGATGGAGTATGGTGGTTCCACTATATAAGAACAAAGGTGATATCCAGAGTTGCAACAATTATAGGGGTATCAAACTACTGAGTCATACCATGAAAGTATGGGAGAGGGTGGTTGAAGCGAGGGTGAGGATGACAGTGTCTGTATCCGATAACCAGTTCGGGCGTTCCACCACAGAAGCTATACACCTTGTTAGGAGGTTGGTGGAACTGTATAGAGAGAGAAAGAAGGATCTGCACATGGTGTTTATTGACCTGGAGAAAGCATATGACAAGGTTCCTAGAGAAGTTCTCTGGAGATGCTTGGAGGCAAAAGGTGTGTCGGTTCCTTATATTATGGCAATTAAGGACATGCATGATGGGGCTAAGACTCGGGTTAGGACATTAGGAGGCGACTCTGAGCATTTTCCGGTTGAGATGGGGTTATACCAAGGCTCTGCGCTCAGTCCGTTCTTATTCGCCCTGGTGTTGGATGCGATAACAAACCATATTCAACGGGAGGTGCCACGGTGCATGCTATTCGCCGATGACATAGTTCTGATTGATGAGTCACGAGCCGGTGTTAATGAGAGATTGGAAGTTTGGAGACAGACGCTTGAGTCTAAGGGTTTCAAGCTAAGCAGAACGAAGACAGAATACCTCGAGTGTAAGTTCAGCGCCAAGCCAGGGGAAGTGGACGTGGATGTGAGGCTTGAGTCACAGGTTATCCCAAGTAGAGGCAGCTTCAAGTACCTTGGTTCGGTTATCCACGGGGGAGGGGAGATCGACGAGGATGTCACACACCGTATTGGGGTAGGATGGATGAAGTGGAGGTTAGCATTTGGAGTCTTGTGCGAAAAGAGAGTGCCAACGATACTCAAAGGTAAGCTCTATAAAGCGGTGGTTAGACCGTCCATGATGTATGGGGCTGAGTGTTGGCCTGTTAAGAACTCACATATCCAAAAGATGAAAGTAGTAGAATTGAGGATGTTGAGGTGGATGTGAGGGCACACTAGGATGGATAAGATTAGGAATGATGATATTCGGGAGAAGGTGCACGTGGCTCCCATTGATGAGAAGATGCGGGAAGCGAGTCTCAGATGGTTCAGGCATGTACAACGGAGAAGCCCAGATGCTCCAGTAAGGAGGTGTGAACGGCTGGTTGTGGAAGGCACAAGAAGAGGTAGAGGGCGGCCTAAGAAGTATTGGGGAGAGGTGATCAGGCAGGATATGGCGAGGCTTCAGGTTTCCGAGGACATGATACTTGATAGGAAGTTGTGGAGGTCGAGTATTACGGTTGTAGGCTAGGAGGTAGTTGAGTCTTGCGTTACTTTGTGTCTTTGTAAGCCTAGTCCGGTGGGGTTTTGTCTAAGATAGCTAGGGGTAATGTCGTTTCTTACTATTTTCTATTTTCGATGCAGGTTCCACTTACTAGCCATCGTTTTTGCTTTGCATTTTTCTTCTGCATTTTATGTTCCTATTTTTCCTATGATCTTCGTGATGAATCTAATATTCTCTCCTTTTGTCTTTTTATTATCTTGAGTCGAGGGTCTTTCGGAAATAGCATCTCTACCTCTTCGGGGTAGGAGTAAGGTTTGCGTACACACTACCCTCCCCAGACCCCACTTGTGGGATTCTACTAGGTTGTTGTTGTTGTTGTTTGACATGTTCATGTGCAAACCTGAAATAGCTTAAAAAATGAATAAAGTTAGGTTTAGCTGGATCAATTGAGACCTCTCAGCTCCACAAAAAATCAGTGTATCATCTGCATAAAGCAGATGAGATACAGCAGTTCGAGTCCCAACATTCCTCCCAATTTTAAAAGCTTCTATCCACTGTAACTGACTGGCTTTCTGCAGCATTTTACTAAGACCTTCCATGGCCAAGGTGAAGAGGAACGGTGAGATAGGGTTACCCTGTCAGATACCTCTTTTTGGAGAAAAGAAACCCACTGGACCCCTGTTCACTGAGATAGAATACTTAACAGTAGTGATGCTGAACTTGATCCATCTTATCCATCTTTTCCCAAAGCCCACGTGCCTCAGAATTGTGAGCAAGTATGACCAACTCACTTTGTCAAAAGATTTCTTAATGTCCAGTTTAAATAACAACCTTGGCTCTCCACTCTTAAGTCAATCTGATGCCACATTTGCAATGAGAGCAGCATTTGTGATTTGTCTCCCTTTTACAAAAGCATTCTGACTCCCTGATATCAACTTCCCAATGACTGTTTTGAGCCTTTCAATCAAAAGTTTAGAAGCAATTTTATAAACATTGCTTATAGGACTGATTGGTCTATAATCCTTAAGCTCGGTTGGGCCTTTCTTAGGAATCAGAGCAATAAAAGAGGCATTAATGGATTTAACCATGTGGCAGTTGTGGTGAAAGTGATTCATTGCATCAAAAACCTCCTTTTTTATAATCTCCCAAGCTTGTTGAAAGAATGCCATAGTAAAACCATCAGGTCCTGGAGCCTTATCTGGAGCACATTTTTAATGGTTGAAAGAATCTCCTGTTCCTCAGACTCCCTTTCCAACCAGTTTCTCTCAACTTCTGAAATCCTAGCTAGATTGTCAAATCTAGCTGACGGCCTCCAAGGTTCATTCTCTGTGTACAACTGTTGGTACAAGTTCAGGATTTCACTTTTGATTTCCTCCTTATCTTCAATGATGACTTCCCCCATCTGAAGCCTATCAATGCAGTTGTTTCTTCTACGAGCATTAGCCATCTTTTGGAAGTACTTTGTATTTCTATCTCCATCCTTAAGCCATAAGCATCTTAATTTTTGTCTCCTTGAAACCTCCTCAATCTTTGCTAACTGCTGAATTTGTGATTGCAGGTTGATCATTTGAGCCTTCTCAGCTTGTGTTTGAACTCTGCCTTCAGATGATTGTTCCAGTATAGTTAGTTCATTAAGTGCCTTACTTTTTTGAGTTTCTAGTTTTCTAAATACCTCCCTATTCCAGCATGAGATGTCTTTCTTCATATTCCACAGTTTTTGAGTCAAGATGAAGTCTGGACTGCCCACTACTTGATAACTGGACCACCATTCTTTAACTGAGTCCATGAATCCCTCTACTAGCAACCACATATTCTCAAATTTAAACTAAGATAAATTGGAGTCCCAATCCCCACATTCAAGCATTAATGGTTTATGATGAGACTCTACTCTGGGTAAAGCCACCTGCTTTATTGCCTTGAAGATGTCATTCCACTCAGATGAAATTAAGAACCTATCAATTCTAGAAGTCTGAAGTTGTTCTTCTCCTCTAGACCATGTATATTGAGCTCCCCCTAGGGGTAAGTCTAACAGTTCCAATTCCAATATAATATCAGAGAAAGATTTCATTGCTCTGGACCTTCTAAGACAATTGAATTTTCATGCTCATAGCTGCATACATTAAACTCTCCCCCTATCAGCCAATTCTCATCCCAAATACCCCTTATTGCTGCAAATTCATGCTAAAGATCCTTTCTTGTTGCATTTGAATGTCGCCCATATACCCCAGTAAAATACCACCTGAATTGTTCTTGGAGACTTTCTAGAATGACAAAAACCGAGTATATACCTTGCTGAATGTTAATGCTTTTCCACAACCTCCTGTCCCACAAAATGATGACCCCACCTCTTGTGCCATTTGCTTCCAAATCTGTCCAGCTAGCCCATTTATTTCCCCATAAAGAACCTACTAATTGTTGTGATCACTCTTCAATTTTTGTCTCCTGCAAACATACTATATCTGCCTTCCACTTCATCAACAAAGATTTGATGATCCCCCTCTTCTTACTCTCATTCAATCCCCTAACATTCCAACTAAGGATTTTTTACTTTCATCCCGAATGAGCTTTGTGAATCCTACCCCTTACCCTACCTTCCCCTTTACCCTGGCTTAAATTTGAAACCAATTTTTTTAATTCTGTCACCCCTTTCTTCTTTTTGGTCTTCGAACAACCCCCTTCTAAGTCCCTTTGCTGCAATTGAGATTGTCTCATCTAGTCCATTCTTAGAATCATATTCAATAATTTGTGTTCAAAACCAGTTGCATTAACCCCAAATGCTTTGCATGCCTTCACCATAACCAACTTTGTCCATTTCGAAGTGGATATGACAGAAGGAGTATGAACAATTTGTTGATTAGAAGAGTTATAAACGCACCAAGGAAGAGAGAGAGTATCACTGTGAGATTGAGAAGAGTAATTAGATTCTGGGCCAAACAGTGGTGCTGATTCCCTGATTTGTGGAGGAATAGAAGGAAGTTCTATATCCTGGGGCAAGTCTCCTTCATCATCAGCATCGCAGAGGCTCGGGCAAATACTCCCTTCTGAATCAGACATCAAACGCTTAGTTTCCAGAGCATGGAGTTCTATGAAAAAGGGGATCAAGATTATGAGGTGGAGGTGAAGAGCGTATTTTAAGAAGACATGGGTCTTGGGTTCTGGCCTTCCAGATCTGTATCTTCTTATTTCTTCTTTTCGGGCATGTGTTGTAATAAATCCGATCTGTTTTCTTTGTGTTTGAAGGCCCAGCTTCATTAATAATGCATGCCCCTTTGTCTGGTTTTTTAATAATAAATTTTTAGGCCCAACATCCTTAACAATACTGGCCCCTTTGGCTGGATTATTAAATCGAATATAGGGCCCCACCTCCTTGGCATATGGCAATTTTGAATTAAAGGCTAAAGGCACGAGTTGCGCCTGTGGCCTATCTACTGATTTGACAGCTGCAGACCTCGAAACCCTAACCCTGCACAAGTTCCCCTCTCCCCGCGAAGCATCTTTCAAAGCAGCGCATACCCATCATAGAGTCTTTTCATCGATTCTGATCTTGCCGATGAACCTCCTGCCACATTCATAGAGTAAAAACCATCTAACCCGATCTTCACTGATGTCAATTAGTTCAAAAGACTTGTCTCCTGCTGAAAAATAAGCCCTCCCCTCCATCATGGAGGATGGGGACTCCCCGGAAAAGGACCAAGAACTAATAAGAAAAGTTGTTGTTTGAAAGTTGGCTCATTTCCCAGTCTAAAACTTATTAACTTATACACCTAGCAACTCTCCTGTATTTTGCCGATGCGGGATTAGCCTAGGATGTCACACGGAAACTCCAAAGATTCTCATAAACCCTCACTTGAATCTTTTACTTTTGCCTCCCATTCACTATTCCCCAGAATCCCAAATTCCAATAATAAAATAAAGTAGCTGTATAATCTGGTATTCCAAGAATTCCATGTCCTAGCAAAAAATGGAATATTGGAAAGCGGTAGCTACCCCCATTATGTCATAATGATTCAAGAAGAAACAAATAAATACAGATGGTCACTTTGGTCTCCAATTGGCCGTTACTGGATAACTCGGTGCGGGTAAGTATTTACCTACTATATGAATTGTATTAGACACTATACAGATTACAAGCTAGATAAACAAAAACTTCAAAATAATAGATCTACTCAGCAACTGTAGTGACAAAAGTTATAGAGAAATCAGTGTCCTTTAGGTGTGATGTACATTGTGGAGAAATCTAGCAGATTAAAAGAAATCCATAGGGAGCTCCCAATCAACAGAGAGTTCTTTTATTTTCTTTCTTAACTTTTTTCCTGAAGATTTTTTACGGCTTCGTCCATACTCGGGCTTAGCACGCGGGTTTCTTAAGTCACCGTAATCTTGCATTTCATCTGCAGAATAAGCCATTTTCTGGGCATCCCAGAATCCCTGGCAAATGTCATTACGATACGATTAGAATAATAAATCATTGCATGCCATCAAATAACACTTAACCCAACTGTGGCTCAACCACACAAATCTGTTTTCTAATTCAACTATGCTTAGGGTCATATCCACTGTCAGTTCTTATTTACGCGGGATTTCAGAAAAAAAGACAGTGTTTTGTGTGTGTGTGTGTGTGTTTGGGGGGGGAGGGGGGCACTTCTCTTGGTAAAACCCAAAGTACAGATATCCATAAGCCAGCGCAGATAGAACTTTAACATTGATTATTGACCATAACACTCCCAAGTACCTTTGTAAGTCTCTGTAGGCGTGAGACTGCAGCTTCTTGCACAACAATGGTGTCTGATAAAACGTCGACCACATCCTCAACAAACAGACAATAGGTGCTCACCTGATATAAACCAAGTGCAAGTGTCAAGAATGCAACACGCTACTTTAGCTAGAATGACAAATAGGAGGACGTCAACAAGTAGCTGCACCAAAAGAAAATGCATTTGTATTAACCTACCAAGCTGGATGGTATTATGGATATTCCTAACCAATCAAGCTCAAGAGATTCCACAGCCCCCGAATTTATATTGAAGGTATAGCCACGAACCTACAAAAATATAAAATTTATTACAGTATATACAGATACTGGAAAAACTGAAGCAGTTTATCACCTTCCCAATATTTCGTTGACGTGGTGTGACAACGTTGTACCCCACCTGCAGAAGAGACAGATATAAAAAAACTGAAGAAAGAAGCAAAGGCCATACACTAAATATAAGAAAAAAGTAGGGGAAAGGAAAACAATGAGAGGTGGCAATTCCATAAGCATGAAAGCGCTCTCTCAAATATTCCAGCAAAACCATGAAGATTTTAAGGAGGCAGAAAGCCTGGGGAAAGATGGTGTATCCGAGTTGAACTCTTTATCATTGGGGAAGTGAAAGAAGAATGACATGCACTGGAATGCCATTCTTTTTAAAATTTGGCCCAGCGCCCTTTCTTTTTTATCATTGTAGGAGCAAGATCAGTTACCTTCCGGGATCCGCACTAGACTATCCAAACAACATTAAAAGAAAGAGCAAATGTGATCATTGGTTCATATTTACGAGCTGCTTGATAATTTTCAATTAATGTAACACTGAATCTATAAATTAAAAAAATAAAAGATACGTGAGTCCATTTGAAACTGAATAATAATCATTTCCTTTAAATGTACAATTAGTCACCAGAACAAACTTTTGCATCTTAATCCAAGAACCGATATTCCCCTGGGCAAATTCAGCTCTAAGGTACTCCATATGTTTTCACTTCATGCCTGAGCCCGACGGAGGCTCATAGCCAACTAGGATGTGAGCCAATCATGCATGGACCAGTTAATTAATAGAAAAAACTATCATAGTGTACTTGGTCAGGCAGTATCCTTTACTTGTGAATCCTTCACGCCATTCCCATTAGCAAAGAGGGACTTGTGAGGTGCTTCAATCTCAATGTTATAGATTTTACAACTAATTCTTTAGATTTGCAGGATCAATTTTAGTCATCAGATTGGGACCAGAGTTTAGGAAATTTCAATGGAAAAGGATGAAACTACACGAGTAAATAACCAAATTGGTCTCTAACATTAATGATGTACTCTGATTCTCATACTTTATTTTGTTCATAAACTGTCCTCAATGTTCAAACTAGTTTTTAGATGGTCCTTGACTTTACCAGCCGTGAAATGTGACAAGTACTGCACTTGATTTCATCGCTGGTTTAAAAAAAAAAAAAAATTGCCAGTACCGCTGGTAAAAGCTGGGCAGTACTGATAACATTTTAGGGTATAGTTGGAGATTGGAAAAGAAACTAGTAACCATCAAATTTTTCTTTTTATGGATTTAGTTTGAATTTCAAATGCTATTCATATTTGTCCATAAGTTGCTCTAAACTCATTGCTTTTGATCTTGAGGGACACAATTAATAAAAAACTAAACCAAATACTATTCACATTTATAAAGAAATCAACCAAATTTCGCTGCATTTGAGTTTTGGTGGACAACAATGAATGTCAAACATAAACCAGTGAACCACTGTCTCTATATTGTTATTTACAAGTATAGCTTTCATACCTTTTTGTTTCTTCTTGTTTTCTTTTTTTTCCTTATGATATTAAGCAAAGTGACTTGAAAAGACTAAGCTGGTTATTAACAATAGAGATCAATTATGTAATTTATTCATATCCAGTTAGAAGTAAAAATCAATATTTAAAAGTCCTTCAGCCAAATAAACTGAAGCTTTGTAAACTTACCAAAGTCTAAATATGAACCACTTTTTAGTTCGATAAGTACTGAAGAATTAAGGTTTTCATCACATGGAAATATAGAATGAATCTACACAATGAGTTCCGTGTTTGCACAGTTTAGCAGCATTTATATGATGCCAAATAGTTCAATGGAAAAGAGAGTTCTAGTTCACGGACACAGTAAGAAGTTAACTGCCCAGGAGCATGAATAAAAACCTTACCCAGCTACTCTGGGTATCAGTAATCTCCAAAAGGAACCAATACGAAGTGAGAGAGCATACCAACGTCTGCAGTCCAACAAGCTTAAATTCATTTTCCATCACATTCTCATCCTCAATAAGTACAACATCTCCAACCTACAATGATCAGTGAAAACACATTGTTAATCATTATCCAAGAGCAATTACCGAGGATCAATGCAATACACAAATTTTTTTGGAATCAGAAAAAGGTTGAAAGCTGAGAAAACCCCCATCTATGTACCCTCTAAGCCAAACAGATTAAGGTGCGTGATTTTATCTCATTCCAAAAGAATTTCAGAATGTTTTGATGAAGTGGAGACTTTTGAGTAGTATATCTTAAAAGGAAAATCTCTTAAGCTTCTTAAAGGTAAAGAAACTCTTTCAAGTTTAGCTCCAAATAAAACACAAACAGCATTACCTATCTTCACACGTGCAATATTGCTCGACCGTCATCCCACCCATTGTCCAAGATTCCCCACCCCCGCCCAAGTGGGAGTTCCAGCCCTGTCTCAGTTCCAGAGAGCATTTTAGAACAATGCTTTATTATTTTTCTGTTCCTTTGAGCTCGACTTTAGTTAGCAGAATTAGGATGTCTGAAAGACTTTTACTAGTTTGGAAAAGCAACTAAGAAAGGTGGTATCCTGGAACTGCGAACTCCATTCCTTAAACATGCCTAATAATGAAGATGAAATTGCATTAGCAGTAGGGAAACCATATGCAATCAAACCTTGATATATCCTACACATGTCAAATAAACTTTATTTTATGATGGTGGTGTCCGGGCCAGCTTCCGTGCACCCTGACTATTTCACCGGTTACCTGCTACCTTCCACAAACACCGATTCAAGGCTTATGCAGATGGAAAGAAATTAATTTAGATGAGGTAGTTTGACTCGGCACAGAGTTCAAGAAGAAAAAAATACTTTTGAAACTTGTGGTGTTAAAAGCTTAAGGGGTAAAAGCTTTGTGGGGCAATGACATATGTCTGGTTATAAAAGCTTCTCATTAAGGGTAAAATGGGTAAAATGAAGAGTTTAAAGTTGAATTATTTTCAATTGTAGAAATGTGTCATTATTTTTGGAACAGACTAATTAGGAAAGTGTATCATTTAAATAGAAACAAAAGGAGTAGCATTTTTTTGCATCCGCCGGGTACAAATGACAGACTAATTATCTAATATAATACTATGTACAATCTTAAATGGTTGAGCTACAAGATTGAGGTAGAAATGTAGGCACTGGAAAGCTACAATTTTTACAAAGTTACCTGTTTGACATCTTCCAGCAGAAACTTCTCCACTTCACCAGAAAGTAAGTTTGGCCTCACTTCAACTAGGAAAACAATCCACTGAAATAGGAAATAAATCAGAGGACTGCAGTTGCTAATATGTTATAACCCTATGAAAGCTGCAAACTTTTCCTACATTGCTCAGTAAATTTTGAATTGAATAAAAGGAAAATGCTAACATTTCCCAAAATAAGACAAAATTGAAGTACTAGAAAGGCTTCCGAACTGTACAGAATTTATGTCCACCCAAAGCTGGGAAACAAAGCCCAAGCTGAGAGCAGAACGAATGCTGATCACTTGCTTCGCAATCATATTCGACCTTTTCATCATTTGCTTCCTCCTCCGCACAATTCCCTTTTCCAGCCTGTCCAATTTAGATTCCACATCCACAGAATCCGCTCCATTTTTCATTAATTCACCCTTCTTCACTTGTGAGTCTGTTATTGGAGCTGCGCTAAGAGGAATTTCAGTTTCTTCCTTGTCCTTTAGCCCTAAATCATCAGAAAATTCATACCCATCGAAATTAAACAGACTCGACTTGGTTAAGTTCCTTTTTGCTTTCCCCAGTTTGAAACAGTCACTGGAAAAATGTATCCTGTTAATTCCAAGTTCTGAATTGAGAAGTAAGTGAGGAATACCATTGATGAGTAGCGTTTTGTGGGTCAGTTTGGAAGTAGTGAAACCAAATGAATGAGGAAAGAAGGTAGTAGAAAAGCAATTACACATTGCAAAAATGTTGGAATTCAGGAAATTTTTCCGTCTAAAATCTGAGCCACTCGTCAGTCATAACTATTCCTTTTCACTGTCGTCGACGTGAGCTCGAGCTTGAAAGTCTGCTCATGAAAATTCTTCATCCCCAGAGGGGATTACTGACAGTTCAGTGTCTGTGACGTGTCAAATTATAATTCTTAAATTAAATTAAACGGGAAAATGTTTAATATTACTTGTAAAATTTATTTCTTTTAAAAGTTTGTTTTAAAAATGATCTCCTTTTTTTATTTTGCTAAAAAATGATCTCCTTATTACTCCCTCCGTTCCGGTTTAAGTAAATTTTTTTACTTTTCGAGAGTTAATTTAATTAATTTTTGAAAGTTAAATTAGATCAAATTAATCTAATATTTTAAACTTAAATATTTAAAACTATACGAAAAGTACTGTAAATTATAATTTTTTTCATGATAATATAATTAAAAAATATTGATCAAAATTTACATACTAATTTAAATCTTGAAAATCGAAAAATTCACATAGACTGAAACGAAAGCAATAGGTGTTCATAAAAATCCGAAAAATCGAACCAAACCGAAAACCGAACTAAACCGACCAGAAAAACCGATACTTTTTAGGTTTGGTTTGGTTTTGGTTTTGAATTTTAAAAACCGATCAAATTTGGTTTGGTTTTGGTTTTTAATGAAAAAATAACCGAAAAAACCGAACCAAACCGACTATAAAAGTAGCTATTTAAATTTATTATTACACCTATATATATGTATTTTTATATAAAGTTTCTAAACATTTATCGTACATATTAGTCATTTGTATTTTTAGTCTAGTTCTTTGCTATTATAATAATCTAATTCTTTGCCTTTGCATTCTAGTTTGATTGGTAGTTTTCGTTTGCTTAGTACAAAAATTTATTTCACGATAAAAATAATCAATTTTTAATTGAGTACTTAAATTATTCATCACTATTTACTTCAATTATCGTCAATATATCTTGGTAAATGACAAATTTCTCAAAGAGCAATTGATTGATAGCGTTACGTTGAAAATATAGTCGCCTAAATATGTATTTGGTAGTGTATGTCTCATAATTAAGAAAAAAACCAATAAATAACCGAAAAAACCGAAAAATCGACAAAAACCGACAAAAAGTTTAGATGTTTGTATATGAGATTCCAGCATAATTTTCTGTAATTTCATAATGTGATGGAGCACCAGCATAATATGCTGGAAGTTTAAACGCATGAGCTCTATAATCTAACATATTATGCTAGAATTTTCCGTATGTTGGAGTTACAACATAATATGCTGGAAGATTAAACTCATGAGCTCTATAATTCAGCATATTATGCTGGAACTTCCTGTCTACTGGAGTTTCAATATAATATGCTACTTTTTACACATAAATTCCATAATCCAGCATATTATGCTGAAACTTTTTATGTTTCAGCATAAAACAATGGCTATTTGTCATTAACTTTGCCATCCCTGACTATATTTTTATGACCAGTCAAAAAACTGATTAGCCTGTATTATTTTCACAAAAATCTAAGTCTAATCAAACCATTCACCATCTACTCCCCTTACAACCGAATAATAATGCAAGAAAACAAGTTCGCGCTTTTTTACATTGATAATCAAATCTTGGCTAGAAAATGCATTGTTGTTTTCTCACACTCCACACAACCATGGCCAAAAAGGATAAACCTAGGATTGCCACGTGGACAAAATACTACCTCTGCTGACACTATACTGAGGACACACTCTTTGAAAAAAAAAAAAACACTCTAATTCATTCATGGCGTCTCTGCTTTCTCCTGCTACTGCAACAATTTGTTTCTCACCACTGAAACCCATTTCAAAAAGCTATTATTTTTGGTCATGTACCAACCATTGCAAAAGAAATACTAATACCATTACTTGCAATTCTTTTGTTAATGACATTTCTGATAATTTAAACCATTCTTTATCTCAATTCCCAATTTTCCAATCTGGATATACCCAGTTTCAAAAAGTGACTGGCGAATTACCCGAAGAGCAAAAGTTGGGGCTGTTAGTTTTTGCTGGACTTACTTGGATTTATTTAACTGCTAGACCAGGAGTTTTAATTGGTGCAATTGATGCATATATTTTAGCACCTATTCAGGTTGGGTTGGATAGTTTGAGTGGGAAAAGGAGTTTTAAAATGAGTGATTTTTTGGTTGGGGAAAGATTGGGAGAGGGTTCATTTGGGATTGTTTATTCTGGGGTTATTGTTCCAAAGAATGTAAATTTAGATGAAATTGTTAGGAAAAGAGGATCATCAGTAAAATCACTTATTACTGACTCAAGGTTCAAGGATAAGGTCATTCTTAAACAGGTAAAATGCTGTATTATTTATTCTTAGATCTCCCCATATATGAGCAATATTTGACTGATTTAATTTATATGCATAAGTTGTATCACTAGTGTGCTTTAATGTTTGCTTTGTTTGTTATTTACCAAAAATAAAATAAAATATTCCCTTTGTTTCATTATATATGTCAGTATTTGACCGGATACAAAGTTTAAGAAAGAAAGAAAGACTGTTTACACATACCTGAATACTTTTAGAACTGGTGATCTAAAAAATGTTATAACATTTTTATAAATATAAAAGTAAAACGAGAAGATTAAGATAAAGAGTTTCCAAGTATAGAAAAGTGTCAATTTTTTGGGAATGGATTAAAAAGGGTAGTGTCATGTAAAATGGAATGAATGGATTAGCTATTTTCTGCCTTATACTGACTAATTATCAAGGTGCTAAATTGTGAGCTCTTTTGTAAATATTTTAGGCTTGATTATGATTTTGTTGTCCACATCCTATAGATCTGGATTATTTCCTTCCATAAATCTTGATTAGACTATTGTGTCTTCTACAAACTGTTAATCTGGATTGTGTCCTCAGCTCGTTTTGTTTGTCTCAACTATATAGTTATGTTAAAAATCATTTTCATCATTCTCGGATCTTGAACTATTTCTCTCTTGCATTTATTTTCTATCTGGCATCTTTAATACTCTTCCTTCCCTAGCTACAGTGTAGTTTGTTTTTCAATTTATAGGTTAAGATTGGTGTTCAAGGTGCTGCAGAATGCGGTGAATTTGAAGAGTGGTTCAATTATAGACTATCAAGAGCAGCTCCTGAGACATGTGCAGAGTTTCTTGGTAGCTTTGTCGCTGAAAAAACTAACTCACGATATACTAAGGGTGAGAAATGGCTTGTCTGGAAATTTGAGGTAATTGATCCATTTAAAGTACCTTTTCCACCGAAATTCCTTTTGTTTATAACTATTCATGACCTTTTGTGTCTTTAAAGTCAAATAAAAGTCCATCTGTCAGTTTGTATTCACCTAAAGGGACTAGCTGCATCAACGTATATTGTTCAGCATCAGTAGAAATACATTACATTGATTTCCCCGTAAAAGAAGAAAAAGAATCGAGGGTTTGTTGAGGGGAGGAGCTGAGACCTATTTCTCCATGTTCTGATGTTTGAATCTTCAGAAGTTTAAAAATGCAATGTTCCTTCAAAGTTTAAACCTTATAAACGCCACATGAGGTATGAGAATAGGAGGTTAAGTATTCAACTCTTAGCAAGGATGTTAGGGCTAAGGCTATAGGTGTTTACCAGTTGCAATAAGCAGTTACCATATTGTTGGAAATTTTCTATGATTAAATTTTTATTTGTTTGCCATCTTTATGTTTGGTCGAATTGTATCAAAACCTGTTAGATGGCAGCTGCATCTATAATGTAGGAACTTCATGTGACAGGGAAATCGGGACCTAGCTGATTACCTGAAGGACCGCGGCTTCCCCTTGAACATGGAATCTATCATGTTTGGTCGTGTCTTAGAAGGATTGGAGTCGATTCAACGGAATGCACTAATTATCAAACAAATCATGCGTCAGATTATTACTTCCCTTAAGAAAATCCATGACACGGGTATAGTCCATAGAGATGTAAAGCCATCCAACTTAGTGGTCACGAAAAAGGGACAAATCAAGCTGATAGATTTTGGGGCAGCAACTGATCTTCGGATTGGAAAAAATTATGTGCCTGACCGCGGGCTACTCGATCCTGATTATTGTCCACCTGAACTCTATGTAATGCCAGAAGAAACTCCAAAACCACCACCAGAGCCCGTTGCTGCACTTCTCTCCCCAGTTTTATGGCAGGTATCCTTCTAATACATGGATTTATATTGCTTGTCCCTCTTACTTCGTTGTAAGCTTGACACAGAAAATGATTCTATATGTTGTTGGAAAAATATTAGAGATGGAAGTACTAATCAGAAACACTTAACAGTAAGAGAAGATAGAGTTTCATGTGAAAAACATGGTCCGAGGTACGCTATGGAGGCACTGACTTCAGAATAGATTTCCATTGCTACCCAGTTGCAAATTGCAAAGTGACGTCCTACTCCCAAAATACAACAAACCAGTCAGAATCCTCTATTGTGCACTCAAATATAAGTTTCACAAAATTCTTAGATCCCTCAACTGCTTTGGTAGGAATTTAGAGTGAACTTATACGACACTTTGGTAGGAAATGAAATGAGAAAGAGTTAAAGGATGCAGAAATTCAAGTCATATGGATAGGTATTTATAAAGATTCAACAAGTACCTAACGTACCTTTTCAAGCCCTTTAAAGATTGGATAACACATTTTCACAAAGAATAGGTATATTCTTTAAAGAATATTAACACCTTTTCACAAAATATTGTATCTCGTCCAGAAGGTACATTTTAATTTCAATCGCTCTAAATAAATTCCAACATATGTAAGTATACCAAAGGGAAAAAGAATGACTAAAGTTGTAAAGCATGTATCAAGTATCAACTCCATTTACCACACTAGACTTTCAGACTTTTGGAAAGAGATATGGCCATGATGTTATTGCAGAGTTCATATTTTATACTTAGCAGCAACTCTCTTGTATTGCAGCTAAACAGTCCCGATCTCTTTGACACGTATTCTGCTGGAATAGTGCTTCTGCAAATGGCAGTACCGAACCTAAGGTCTACAGCAGGCTTAAAGAACTTCAATAGAGAACTACAGGTCGTTGGATATGACTTGAATAAATGGAGAGAAAAGACTAGGACGAGGCCTGATCTCAGTATTCTTGATCTTGACTCTGGTAGAGGGTGGGATTTGGCTACAAAACTTATTTCAGAGAGAGGTGGGCGTTTATCTGCTGCTGCGGCTCTTAGACATCCTTATTTCCTTCTAGGTGGTGACCAAGCTGCTGCAGTTCTCTCCAAATTAAGCTTCACAAAATAGGAGCGCGACTTGGTGATGCAAGTACGACATGCTTTTTGTGATCGATACTCGTTTACCTCCTTGTTCTGCTAATATTTTTTTGTGTGAGACATCTTCTCTCGTTAGTATCTGGAGTCGTTGATGCTGCATTCGTACAGTTTGTTCATCAATCAATGCTCTCAATGGCTATAGAATATAGATTCATGAAGTGGTTCCAGAGCCGAAAATAAGGAGAAGATGCTGAACAGGGAAAAAGGTATAAGCAACTCGGTTTTGCATATATTTAAATGATCAAGAAGGAAATTTGTAGTTACACATTTTGGTAAGGTAAAGAAAATCATAATACATTTATTTTCTTCTTGTTTTAAATAATAGGAAATAGCTTCTAACACTTTGTTTGAGGAGAAGAAGAAATTTCACCTTGTAGCAATCAAGTTCTTTTTCCTGCACGGCTATAGGGATTACTAAGAAATTTATGAGCTAGAACAGCTCCAAAGATCACCATTTTTGCAGAGCTGCTTACCTATTATACGTGTCTTTGGTTCATTCTTTGTAAACGAATAACGTGACCAGCAACTGTATGGCAAAATGTATATGAATTTTTTTTTTTGGAACCCAGCCGCTACAGCCTCTGCCCTTCGGGTGAGCACTCTGTGCGCAGTGGGTAAACCTCCCACTGTGTAATAGCATGCAAATTATATAGGGGATATAAACCGCTCTAGGCAAGCCCTGGTTCGACCCAGAAGGCATTGAGGGGGTCGATACCAGGTCATCTGTATGGATGTATATGAATTTTTGCATGTATTTCTTATACAGTTCTTTTCTTTCAGGCGTTGCAGTCCTTGTGCAGTCACTTCCACATACTGTCTCTGAACAAGAGTCCTTGTGTAGTCACTTCTTTTAGGGGGTTTTCATTTACTCATACACTTAAGTCAGAGAGTACTAGGGACTCTTGACCAAATGACCCTTTTTAAACTTATATAGCAAATTAACCTTCAAATTTTAGTTATTCTAGGATTGATCTTATTGCTTAATTAGTGCTTAAATGAGATTTGGGTTAATTATAAAGTGAAGGAGAAGTTCAGACTTTATCCCCATTGTTTTAATTATTACACTTTGGCCCCAACATATATAAATAAAATATTTTCGGAATTTAAAGAAAAAGAAACCCCAAACCCCCCATCCTTACGTTTCAGCAGTGTCCCAATCTCCATTTCTCACGGTTGAATCTTCCATTAAAGCTTGTTTTTCTTCCATTCCTCACACAAAGGTCGCCTCCCTTGTTCCCTATTTCTCTTAAAGCTTCATTCTTTTCGATTTATCGATTGCTGAGAGGAAGCACAAATTTTTGGATCTGTCGATTTGGGGATGAGATTGGCGGTACATTGGATTGACAATTCATTTTAAGTGGTATATCGTGTAATTCCTTTGTGTGGTAAGTATTTGCATCTCATCTTTTTCGTCATTATTCATTTGGGTTTCTGCAAATTTCTATGCACAATACTTGATCACTAGTGTATAATAGATCACTATAAAAACAAACCATTAGTTCACAATAGATTGATGGGAGATTATATATTAGTTTGCAGTTGTTATTCTGGTGAATGAATTGAGGGGCCAAATAGTTGGAACTGGAATTCCTATACAAAGGTTACAGTACATGTCCGTATACCCATCAATTGCACATATTTCTTCTGGCACCAGAAAAAAGGACAAAAATAAATGTTCCATCTGCAAGGTACTTGGCCACCAGACTTTGTTACAGCAACACATAGGGGTCTATTGACAACCACTGGTTTAGGTAGTTAATTTAAAATCCAACGTGAGTATCCAATAGATTCTAAAAACTCTCAACAATCACGTCATATACGAGAAGGCATGTAAAAATGAACCATTTAGTGTCAAAATCTACCTATAAATATAGTAGATTTGATCTAAAATTATTCATCTTTCTTCCAAGTAAACCAGTGCAAACAGACATTCCAATCACTTCACTGTGAACTGCCTCTGAGGCCAAGGCTAAGCATGGACACAATCTTCATCAGGGAGTCACTGGATAGGCTTATCCGAGAGATCCAAAAAGACAAGGTCAGATAAAAGAGCAACATTCGATAATTTATTTTTCTGCCTTGTATGCAAAAAATGTATGCTGCTATGAAGGAGATAATATATAAAATCATTTATTTTACTACTTGTCTTTTAGTTCCTAATTTATTTTTCTGCCTTGTAATTTTTTTTCGCCATTTGAGAATACTAACGTGCGGAAAAAAAAACAAAGTAGAATGAAGAGGTTCCAATCGAAAAATAGAACCCAGGGGATTTAAATTTAATTCAAAATGCTTAAATTTTCCACCAATGAATTTCAAAAAGTTCACGTGAATTTTGAAAGAAACCTACGGTCTATTCTCTACCCCACTAGTGATCTATAATTCTATTATTAATGTAAACCAATAGATGGTCGAACACACTTGTAACGATCCGGCGAGTCGTTTTGAGAATTTACGCCCCGATCCCCTATTAACTGCTTTTCCCGTTTTTAATTCTGCTATTGTAACTTGCCGGTATGGTTCGTTTAGAGTTTCGGAGTATTTTGGGACACTTAGTCCCTAATCAGAGGCTTAAGTCTTAGAATTTTTGGACCGGTAGTGGACTTTTTGATATCGGGGTCGGATTCGATTCCGGAAGTTGGAATAGGTCTATAATGGTAATTATGACTTGTGTGTAAATTAAGGTCTATCGGTCGTGGGTTAATAGGTTTCGCCAACTCTGAAATTTTTCTGGAGTTTTGGAAGTGAGGAGCTTAGGAGTTCCATGCGGACCGCATAATTTTGGGGTGCGGCCGCATTTCAGGTCGCATAAGGGGGCAGTGCAGACCGCATAAAAGTGGTTGCGGCCGCACTGCTGAATGTTCGGCAGGTTGTTGGCCCGACTTCGGAAGCTTTTATCTTGTGATCTACACGGAGTTTTGGTATGATTCAAAATTAAAGTTGTAGTCCTACGTGTCTAGTTTCCAGAAAGGTAAAGACGTCACCATTTGGTCATTTGAAGAGAAATTTATGGTCGAAATGCTGAAGCATGGCAATGTTGAGTTGGAATTGTGCGGTCCGCACCATATTTGTGCGGCCGCATGAACTGTGATGTGCGGCCGCACTCGGTTTTATGCGGACCGCACAATGTGGACCAGCTGGGTACTATATAAAGCCGAGATTTAGGGTTTTATTTCATTTTTGGACTTTGGGAACTCGTGTTGAGAAGATTTTTCGTGGACTTTTCAAGAAGTTCATCGGGGTAAGTGATTTTGACTTGAATTTAGTTACTATACATGAATATATCATGGATTTCATCATTTAATTCGTACCTTGAGATGGAAATTAGGGAAAGTTTGTAGAAACTTCATAAACCATAAAATGGGGATTTGAAGGTCGAGTTGTGATCGGAATTGGCTAATTGTGGTATGGTTGAACTCGTGAGTGAATGATTGTTCATATTTTGTGACTTTTACCCGATTTCGTGATGTGGGTCCGGGAAGAATTTTTGGGTGTTTTCTATTTTATTGCCTTAGTTTTGATTTCATTAGCTAAATTAGTTGCTTGTAGATATATTTATGTTATGTAATTGATTTGATTAGATTTGGGTCACTCGGAGTTGGATACTCGTGGCAAGAGCGTGATTTCGGTTTGATTTGAGCTTGGTTAGAGGTAAGTGGCTTGCCTAACCTTGTGTGGGGGAACTCCCCTTAGGATTTGGTACTGTTTGATATATAAGCGCCGTGTACGTGAGGTGACGAGTGCATACACGGCCTATTTGTTGGAAAACCCCGTTTTCATTAAGTAAATATTTGTTTTCCTTTAATTGAGCAACACTAGTATATGTAACTATCCTGTTTAGCTTAGGAAAGCATGCCTATGTGCCTTGACTGTCTTAACTACCTCAACTGCCTATCTGAACTCTGTGCAACATGCTTAGTGAAAAAAAATTACCTGCCTTCTTTGATATAAACTTAGTCTAAACTGTAAAATTCCTTGTTGAAATTGTTGTCTATGTTAATTGAGTTGCATATTTACTTTGGGACTACGAGACGGTATCCTGGTAGATCCCCCTGTACATTTTCGTTTGGACTACGGAACGGTACTCTGGTAGATCCCCCTACATATTTACGTTTGGGACTGCGGGACGGTATCCCCGGAGATCCCCTGTTGTTATCTCTGTGTACTGAGATGTTGTTTTCCTGTGAATTCACTCTCGTTAAATTTTAGTATTTATCTGTACTGCGATATTTCATTCTGTATTATTTTGTTATATATATACCAGTAGGGCCTGACCTGATCTCGTCACTACTCGACCGAGATTAGGCTTGGCACTTACTGGGTACCGCTATGGTGTACTCATGCCCTTTCCTGCACATATTTTTCGTGTGCAGATCCAGGTACCTCTTCCCAGCCACATTACCAGTGAAGCGAGACGACTGTAGAGACTTCGAAGTATATCTGCCGCATCCGCAGACCTTGGAGTCCCTATCTACTCTTCCTCAAGTTAAAGACTTCTTGCATTTTCTTCTTGTATTAGACTCTGGAGTATGGGAGTACTGTGTTCTTCTTTAGCTTGTGACTTATGAAATTTAGGGTTTTGGGAGATTTATATCTACTGTTCGAAAGTGATTATTTTATATGCCGAGCGGCATCGCATTTTCTTGTTTAAAATTTACTTTTAATTGATAGCTTTCGTGTTTTGTTCCTTTATTCACAAACGTCGGGCTTACCTAGTCGTAGAGACTAGGTGCCGTCACGGTAGGTTCACGGAGGGAGAACTAAGGTCGTGACAAGTTGGTATCAGAGCTCTAGGTTCATAGGAGTCATGAGTCACAAGTCGGTTTATTAGAGTCTCGCGGATCGGTACGGAGACGTCTGTACTTAACTTTGGGAGGCTATGGAACTGTTAGGAAACTTCAACTTCATTTTATTCCTTGTCGTGCGAGATTATTGATTCCAAAATTCTAAACTTCTGTCTTCTATTCTCTCACAGATGGTGAGGACACGTGCTACCGGAGATTACCAGGCTCCCGCGCCCCCTGCTAGAGCCGCCAGAGGCCGGGGCCAGGGTAGAGGCCGAGGACGCGCACGTGGTGCAGCCAGAGCACCCGCGCGAGCTGCTACAGATGAGCCACCAGTAGCTCCAGCTGGAGCCCAGAGTACTACTACTACTACTACTACTACTACTACTACAACACCCCGGCTCAGCCCGAGGGTAGGGCAGCAATTTCAGAGGAGGAGTAGCGGAGGCTTGAGAGGTACAAGAAGTACGACCCTCCTACATTGAGTGGTCTAGCATCAGAGGATGCTTAGGGATTTCTGGAGGAGTGCCACCGTATCCTCCACACTATGGGTATAGCAGAGTCCAGTGGGGTTTCTTTCACTGCCTTCCAGCTTCAAGGAGCAGCCTATCAGTGGTGGCGTACTTTTGAGTTGGACAGTCCGGCTGAGGCAGCTTCCCTTACATCGACCCAGTTCTCGGATATGTCTTTTGAGGGAGTATGTCCCTCAGAGCCTCAGGGACGCATGGGCGCACAGTTTGAGCATTTGCGCTAGGGTACTATGACTGTTTCAAAGTA